GCGACCGTACTCTCTGGGTAGTACTGATACTACATTCACCATAATATCTAAAGTAGGATCAGATTCAGAATTACCTTCTTCATCTGATTCACCTTGTTCTGGCCACTCCAATCTTCTAGCAATTGGTTTCCTTTCCAAACGCTTTCTTTGTTTGCCTTTGTCCATTCTTTGTGGTACATTGGTGCTTAATTCTGGTTGAGGCTCCTCTGTAGCCTATCTCTCTCGGCTTTTCACCGTCTTTGATATCTTATCCACTGGGAGCGAGACATGGGGTTTTTCCCCTTATATTTGCTCGACACATGAGCCACTTTGTTTGTTGTTATAGTTTGAAACTCCTTCCTATATGCCAAGGATGATCCTCTTGGCACATCGAATGTTCGCCATTTCTCCTCATTTGGCCTTTTCATGTTTGCTGTTTTTAGCCAAGTGTCAACGGGGATATTTGTTGGAGGCCTGAAAGTTGAAGGCCTCTTCGTCGGGTTCATTGGTCATTTATGATATCCTCTTTTGGGATCATATCTAACCTCAGAAACCATATTGGGTTGGGCATTGGTGGCCCATTTCTCCTTTGCTATCCTTACGCCTTGTATGTGTTCTGCAGCCTTTTTATCGAAGATGGAGCTGAACCTTGGACACAGCATAACTTCATACTTCTTTTTCTGGCATCGTTGTAGAAAATATGCCAGATTCTCATTCTCTTTAGGAAATGCAGTTTTATTCACTTCCTCTTGTCTGATGGCCTCTTCTGAAGCCTTTGCCTCAGATACTTCGACCATATTGACTTCTACGTTGCTCTTGGCAGCGAGATTCATCTTTTGCATTTTGGCTTCAAGGTCTTATGTCGAACCCTTGACGAAAGCCAAGTAAGAACCTGCAGTAGCCCTTTTGTTTGAGTATTTAGTAATTCCTTTGCTTAGGCCTTCAGTAGCCCCTTTGTTTAGGCCTTCAGTAGCCTTTCTCACCCCTTCGACAGTCTTTCTGGAGATGTTCCCAGTGAAACTGCCAAAAACCGGCTTATTGACGAAGTCTTCAGAAGCTTCGACCATGTTGATGCTTGCTGGTTCAGCATAGCGGGCATCAGCTTGCAATGGGTTTGCATCAATTTTCATTGGAGGTTTGTCAGCAAATTTGATTCTGCCTTCTTTGATCGCTCCTTGAACGAGATCCCTGAAAAGAAAACATTGTGAAGTTTTATGGCCCAAAAAACTATGATACTTACAAAAACCTCTTTTCTTTCTTTGTTCTAAAGGAGACATTTTTGCCCCTGGGGGTACTATCATTTGGCCATCTTTAACTAACAAGTCAAATATCTCGTTGCGTTTTGTGACGTCGAAACTATATGTTTTCTTTGGGAATCTATCACTGCTATTTTCAAACTCAGTAAGATTCTTCCCATCTGAGGTCACTAACAATCTACAAGAGTATGGTGGCCCTTGCTTTAACTCTGCTAAATCTATTTCGCTTTCTTCGACATCTATAGGATCACTAGATGTCTCTAGATCGTCATCATCCATTTCGACATAGGCTACCCTTTCTCTTCGATGAGTCTTAGTTGCTTTAGATTTTTCAATTTTAAAACGTTCAACCTGTCGAACTCTATCAGCCAATTGGGCAATATCCCTCAGGTATTGGGTATCTAATTTTTTCCTAATAGAATAATCTAAGCCCCCTGCTGCCATTTCGACCAATTCATGCTCAGGAACTTGCGTAAAGCATATGGCTTTGAGCAGTTGAAATCTATTTAGATATTCATTTATTGGCTCAGTGAATCTTCTTTTCACGCTAGCCAGTTCTTTCAGACTTATTTTGGTTTGTCCCGTGTAAAATTGTTCATGGAACAATCTCTCAAATTGATTCTAATTGTGAATTGAATTGGTTGGGAGTGTTTTTAGTTAGAGAACTTGGGAAGTATTTAATCCTAAGGCTCTCGTTATTTGATATTTCCCCAACTTCTATCAAATATCTCGCTATATGTTCGACAGTGAACTCTGTCGTATCCCCTGAAAATTTAGTGAACTTTGGAACTTTCCACCTATGGGGTAAATTTGTTTGCAAGATATATTCTGACAATGGGGATGTAAAGTTTGGCCTATGAAAGCCAATCTTTATTCCATTTTGTATCATGATTCTTTCGATCATGGCTGTCAGATTATTATCTGTGCCATAATTATGGTGTCGAACCTGCTGTATTAGTTCGTCAGCATTTTGGTTTCTATTTACCACCATCACACCTTGACCGCCATCTTTAGAGATTTGTGGGGGAAATCTGGGTATTTCGACCCTAGGTTGTTCGATTTCCACTTTGTGGTTCCTCCTATATAGCTGTGGGTTTTAGATAATGGTTACATCTTCTTCTAAGACTATACCTTGATTATATCTTATTGGTGCTCTTTGGGGTTGTCGAATAGGTTGGGGAACCCCAAAAAATTCAACCATGCGCGTCATCTGCACTGACATTTATTGGTTCGACTGGGTGGTATTTTTAATTAGAGGGTTCAACACTGTACTCAGAGTTTGGGCCAATATTTGTACCATATCATGGTTGCTTTCATCCATTTGTTGCCTCAAAATTATCGTGGAAGCATTTGTGAGGCTTGGCATTGCATGGGATGCCCCTCCTAAGAGTTGGTTTCTACCTAAATTTGCCATACCAGTTCCAGATCCCTGTAATAGAGAAGACGCACTAACCAAAGATTCTGAAAATGTAGACGCAACGTTCATAAGACTAGCCATTTCAGTAGTTGGCATGCCATAAGGCTGGTCTCGACCCATCCAGGCTGTCGAAAATCCTGGGGGTACGTATGGTCGAGATCCTGGGTTCACCCTTGATGGGGGTGTTCCTGATGGACCTCTAGGACCTGCATACAAAAGTATTGGTCCTGTTTGAGTTGCTGTTAATGTTGGTGCCGAACCAATGGTTGACGATATAGTTTCACTAAAGGTTGGTATAACCGTTGTTCCCATAGTAATTGGTGGAGGTATTTCTCCATTATTTGGATGATTAACCATTTCACTTTCATTATTTCTCCTTCTAGTTGTACACTCGTTGGTGGTTAATTTACCACTTCTTAATAGCATACAAGACTTTGTAAAAGAAAGAAAATTATGCAAAGCATTTATGTTAATATAAACAAGAAACACAAAAAATAAAAATTAGCAAGGTCCCACCGGGTGTACCAATTTGTTTGTCGTGTTATTCGGTAAACAATCACTGATCTCCCAAAAAGGATAAAATTTTGGTTACTCGAAGGATCGATCAGTTTGATCCTAAGACATATGCTATTTTTTGACGTTGTTTGAACATAAATGCTAATATAAATAAAGAACGCACGTTCGACTGAGAAAGGTTGAGGTTTGAAATGATTTTGAGTGTAGAAAGTAAATAGAAAAGAGATGGAGAAGAGTTTAAGTGCAGGAATCTGATAAAAGTGCAAGTAAAGTGTAAGGGAAAATAGATGTTTGCAAGCAAGATAAAAAGGCAAGGAATGTAAAGAGGAATGTAAAAGACTTTGATTATAAAATGTGGTGTTTCAAACGTATATTTTCAGTATTCTTTCTCACGCAGCGGGTACTCGAATAATATTGAATGACTTGTACGGTTAGTTGAAAACCCCCCTGAAATCTACATAAACTTCCTATTTTATACTAAAACTAGGTAACCGTCAAGGGAGTTGCTTTGCTCTAGGATGAAGACAAGTGTCTTCTGCATGTGCTTCGACCTCTATCTTCATGCCACGTTACTTTCCTCAACTGCTAAATGAACTGCTTTTCCCTTCTTTCTTTAGATTCAAAATCACCTGATGTTGATACGAGGTTTCCTTTTAGTCGAAGGCCCTGGAGCCCTTTCAGTCAAAGGCCGCAAGAACCTTCTGGTCGAAGATTAATTTTAACTTAGAAATTTCTCTAAGTATTTTTCCAATTTGTCGAAGTATTTCCAGCTTAGATTTGTTCAATCTATTTTTGGTCCATAAGGCCAATTTGTTGTGGATGTCGAATTTAAGAGCTAATAGTCGACCAATGGCTCCACTCCACTACTCTTTGCTGGTCAAAGGTCCAATGACATGAGACCCATTATCTATCCTACTCCGCCAGGCCCAAGGTATAAACACATTCATAAAGGGTTCTAAGGGACATAATCTCTAATTTTCACTATCACCTATCTTAAATCCTAATTGACTTTAGCATTGGAGTGCTAACCATGCATGCAGCCCATTAGGTCCACCGTATTGTAGATAGCAACACCAATTATCAACATCGTATCAATATCGATACCTCTAGTTCAAGAAGCACCATGATCGCAACCTTCAATTCACAGTGTCGCATTCGCGAAGAGCATCAGAAGCTCCGTTCCACCATAATTTCCACCACCGCCATTTCTGATTTTGCAACAGAACAATTGTATTTTTTTCGTAATTTTTAAAATTCATTTTTTTTATTTTACATATATTATTAATTAGATTTAAATTGTTAAATTAAAATTTTAATTAATTAAATTAAATATTTAATAAATTAAGTTAAGTTTGTATTTTTAAAATGACAGTAAATTTTTTAAATATTAAAATAAAATATATTAAACATAAATTATAAATTATAGTATATGTTGCTTTATTTATTAAAAAATATCCACCTTCTCTTAAAAATAAGCAGAGAAAATAATTAGTTTTTTTTTAATAAACCCTCTTCTCTATTTCTTCTCACTTTTTCTTTATTAATCAATACCTCAAATTTATACCGTCTCTTGTATATTTCTTTTTTCATAATTTCTCTTTCAAATCAAACATACCTAAAAAAAAAAAAAAAAAAGCAAAATCTAACCGAACACAACACACTTTAAGAGAAAATAACCCGTGAAATATTTTAAAGAAAAAAAACCCTGTAAAATAAAACTAAACCCTAAACCCTGTGAAAGATTATGTAGTAGTTCAGTCACTAGCTCCATAGTTTTATCGAACCATTTTCCGGTGAACTGAACAATTTTCTGGTGAACTTTAGCTATTCCAATGTCCATAGCATTACGGATGAGAAGTGCAAAGCCACTTCTCCACACTTTACACCGCCATGTCATCTTCCGCCGCACCATTTCCTCCGGCAACGGTGGCTCCGCAACAAAATTTCTGGAAACTTTCACTGAGGAATTCGAAATCGGTAACCGCCTCGTCACTCTCGAAACCGGTAAAATCGCTAGGTTCGCTAATGGCGCCGTCGTCCTGTCAATGGAGGATACTAAAGTCCTTTCCACTGTCACTTCATCTAAAGAAGATACTGCTCGCGCCGATTTCTTGCCTCTCACTGTAAATTTTTCTTTCTCTTCTTTCTTCTCTCTGGTTCAATCATGTAACTGTAGAGCTTTCTCAACACGAAATTGTATATAAGTTTAACTGTGAAATGTTGTTAGTAGCTTCGAGTTTCTCAGCCGCAGTTGCATTAATTTATGGTTGAATTAGGTTTCACGTTATATATTTTTAACTGTAAAATTGCTGTTATTAGTAGCTTCGAGCTTTCTCGGCATGTAATTGGAATCATTTTTGGCTGATTTAGGTTGATTATCGAGAGAAGCAATTCGCGCAAGGCGTGATTCCGACGACTTATATGAGGAGGGAAGGTGCTCCTAAGGAACGTGAACTTTTGTGTGCTAGAATCATTGACCGTCCTATTCGACCTCTTTTTCCACCTGGATTTTATCATGAAGTTCAGGTATGACGCTAAACTGTTGTTTACTTTGTTTTGTTAATTTTGGTTGATTTTTGTTGTTGATTTATTAGGTGATGGCTAGTGTTCTTTCCTCGGATGGAAAACAAGATCCAGATGTGTTGGCGGCTAATACAACGTCTGCTGCGCTTATGTTATCGGATATTCCTTGGGGTGGCCCCATAGGAATGGTTCGAATTGGAAGGATTTGTGGGCAGTTTGTGGTGAATCCTACCATGGATGAGGTAATTTTGTCATGCAGTTTCATAGATTCCTCCATACTACAATATCCTTTAGCTGCTTAGGGGATGCTTTGAAGAGCTTTTATGTAGCTTACATGACCAGTGTTGTTCAATGGAAGTTATGGCATGGCTGATTTTTAAGTAGTTGTTTGGTTAAACTTATAGAAACAACTTAGGTGATATTATCAAATAAGCATAGGAAAATCAGCTTACGTGATTAAGTTATTACAAAGTAAGCTTTCGTGGGATATGATTTGTGCTTGATAAAATTAGCTGTTTACCTAAATATACTTCTCTGTTTGTCTCTGTCATTATTATTAGTTTACTATGACTTCAATTTTCTGGGTGTGTTGGTTTAAGGATTAAAAATTATTAGTGGTTTGGTATTTTTTTAAAATTTTATAGATCTTTTATACTTAAGTTTATTTCGAAACACATCTTTTCTTCAGTTTTTTCTTTGAAATTTCCTTCGCCCTTGAAGTCCCACTGTTGATATTTTATTGAAATTGATTAATATATGAAGTCTAAATTTTTGTTTGTCGGAAGTTTGTTTGTACCATAGTTTGAAACTTTAATCTTGATCAATTTTTTTTTTTTGCTGAAAAATGGTCGACCATGACTGTGTTTGGTTGAATAGCATTCTTCTCCATTCTCTGATTGCTTTGCATTGCAACATTGCAGCTCAGCTTAAGTGATCTTAACTTGATATATGCCTGCACAAAGGACAAAACTTTAATGATTGACGTACAAGCCCGTGAGATATCTGAAAAAGATTTGCAAGCTGGGTTAAGATTGGCTCATCCAGAGGTGACTTTATTATTTTTACTTGTCTGACACTGTTCATAATTGAATGCTTTTGAGATGTGTTTCTCTGATTATTCAGGCAGTAAAGTATATTGAACCTCAAATTAGACTTGCCGCTAAAGCTGGTAAGTCCAAGAAAGAATACAAATTGTCTATGCTCTCTGACAAAACACTGGAGAAAGTCACTAGTTTGGCAGAAGCACCTATTATAGATGTTTTTACCGATCCTTCGTATGGAAAGGTGCTCTTATTCTCTTTCTGTTATTCCATCACTTTTAGTGGATCGAAAATGTTAGATAATTTACGCTCATTATATTTATTGATTTTTTGTTATAATTATTTCTAGTTTGAACGTGGAGAAGCATTAGAAAATATCACACAAGATGTAAAGAAAGTGCTTGAAGAAGAAGATGATGAGGAAAGCATAAAGGTTTTGCCAAAGACAGTAGACACAGTGAGGAAGAAGGTGGGGAGCATTCTGATTTATAAGTTTGAAAGAGATTATTGTTCTTATTTATTTTTTCCTAAAAAAAAATATAATCCTTAATTATTTACTATTAAAAGTCTTGCCATTTTATGCGAAACCTTAGCTGGTTGTAAAATCCCTTTCTGTCCCTAGATACCAGAGTAGGTATTTCACAGTAAAGACTAATACTTGAGAGAAAGTGAGTGCGAAAGAGAGAGGAGATCATAATTGAGAGAGTTTGAGATGATCCTAAACTTAAGGCTTTTATTATTAGTATGAAAAGGTAATTGATTCCAAGTTCCAACCATGATGAATCTATTTACTTAGACAGTTACTAACTATTAATCTAACTAACACGTGGTAACTAGCATTAGAACCTAACACAACCTTGCTTTTCAAATCTTTGAATGCTTAGCTCAGCCAGACATAATGTAAGAACTAAGTTTTATATTGATACTGTTAAAATACGAGACTAAGACATTTGAATAAACCGCATCTTTTGAAAAGCACTACGGAAACTTTATTATATATAGAGAGATTACAGTTAATTACATGATATAGTCGATGTGAGGCTATTCTATATGCAAATATTTTTAACATTATATTTATAAATATTAACACTTCCCCTCAAGTTTGAGCATATAAGTCAAATGCACCATGTTTGTCAAATGCACCAAGTTTGTCACATATATAATTAGTTTTAGGACTTCGCAGGGATTTTGTAAACACATTTGCCAATCGATCATTAGAGTTGACAAAGCTTGTGATGATGTTGCCTGATTCAATCTTCTCTCTAACAAAGTAACATTCTATCTCAATATGTTTGGTCCTCTCATGGAAGACTGAATTTGAAGTAATGTGTAATGCAACTTGATTATCACAAACAAGTGTCATTGGTCTTGCTTCTTCAATTTGAAGTTCTTTGAGCAATTATTTTAACCAAATGAGTTCACATGTTGCGATTGCCATGACCCTATACTCCGCTTCGACGCTTGATCTTGCAACTACGTTTTGTTTCTTACTTTTCCAGGATATAAGGTTTCCTCCAACAAGTACACAATACCTAGAGGTGAATCGTCTATCATTGGGTGACCCTGCCCAATCAACATCGGAGTATCCAACTATTTGAGTATGTCTTTTATCTTCATACACTAGACCTTTCCCTGGAGCACATTTGATGTATCTCAAACTCCGGATAACATCATCCATGTGTTCCTGACAAGGGAAATTTAAGAGCTGACTTACCACACTGACTGCAAAAGAAATGTCCGGACGAGTGACTGTGAGATAATTCAACTTTCCAACCAATCTCCTATACCTTTCTGAGTCAAATAGAGGCTCTCCCTGATTGGGTAGTAGTTTGACATTTGGATCCATAGGAGTATCAACTGGTTTAGCATTCAACAAACCTGTTTCTTCCAAAATATTCATAGCATATTTCCGCTGAGAAATCACTAAACCATCTTTAGATTAGGCTATCTCAATATCCAAGAAATAACAAAGTTTACCAAGATCCTTTTGTCTGAAATTGATTCGAGAGATGTTGTTTCAATTGGAGTATTCCCTGTTGATCACTACCAGTGATGACAATATTATCTACACACACAATAAGATAAATACACCCTTCGGCTGAGTGGTGAAAAAGAACATAATGGTCAGCTTCACTACGGACCATACCAAACTGTTGTACTACAGTGCTGGGGGACAATGGCATATTGGACTTTCGAAAGAGGTGTGAGAGTTTTTTTTTTGAAGGGGTTCCTGAGTTACTTGGTTGAACTCGAAATATGGAACAGACTCAAAGAAGGTAACATCGGCCGATACGAGGTATCGCTGTAGAGTATGTGAATAACGACGATAAGCTTTTTGGGATCGATGATAACCAAGAAAGATACACTTTAGTGATCAAGCTGATAGTTTATCAAAACCAGGAGAGAGATTGTGTACAAAGCATGTGGACCCGAAGACTCGGGGAGGAATTGGGTGAAGTGGGGAATTGGGAAAAAAGGATTGAATGAGAGATTATATTGTTAAGGACAAATGAGGGCATGCAATTTATAAGGTAACATGCCGTTAGCACAACATCCCCCCAAAACCGATGGAGAAGTAGGGTCCGAGTGGTTTCTACGAGATGCCGATTTTTGCGCTCGGCTACCCCGTTTTGCTGAGGTGTATGAGGGCTAGATGTTTGGCGGAGAATATCATTGCTAGGCAAAAGTTTGAAATTGTTTGGATGAGTGTTCCCAAGCATTACCACTTTTTAAGGTACGAATAGACACAACAAACTGAGCTTTTATTTCTTTATAAAATCGTTCAAAAATAGAAAATAATTCAGATCTATTTTTCATTAAAAATAACCACGTGCAACGTGAAAAATCATCAATAAAGGTGACAATACCTAGACTCAAGAGTAGAGACAGTACGCGAGAGACCCCAAACATCAGAGTGAACTAAAGCAAAAGGGGACGAAACTCGTTTATTGACTCGATTAGGAAATTGACTACGAGTGTGTTTCCCTAACTGACACGACTCACAATGTAAATTAGACACCTTCGATAAATTTGGCACCAACTTCTGTAGTTTGGAAAGACTGTGATGATTTAACTGAGCTTGGATAGTGAATGGAGAATCTTTGGCTGAGCATGTCTGAGATGACATTGAGAGGTAATAAAGGCCTTGAGACTCACATCCGACGCCAATCGTTCGTCCCGAACTCCGATCCTGCAGGGTAACATTACTGTTAGTGAAGGTGACAATACAATCAAGAGAAAGAATTAAACGACTGACTGAAAGCAAATTAAATGGATAATTAGGTACATAGAGAACATAAGTAACAAAGAGAGAAGGTAGAATTTGAACAGTACCAATCCCTTCAGATTAGGTTTGATAACCATTGACAAAAATTATAGTAGGTAAGAAACCCGAGGTAGAGAGGGAAGAGAAAAGATTTTTATTACCAGTAACATGATCAAATGCACCAGGCTGTGAATAAAAAACTCACATGTTGAAGGATATAGCAGCATTCTTAGTATTTCTTGTGATGGAATTTTGGTCTAATTCATCATCTTCTAAGGATTACAAAGAAATAAATTAACAAAACTGTTATTGTCATTAAGTTTTTAAAGGTAAACTTGAAATATTGAAAGAATGCTGAAGAGAAACTTATTTGATGTTGGTAGATACTCTCCTCCTCATTCTATCTAGTAAAACTTGTAGCTATATTTTAGTTTAATCATTTTGAAGTTACCCTACAAACTTGTATCAGCACATACTTAGTCACTATAGTACTTCAAGAAAATTGATGATCAAGCTGTATGTTATTAAGAGTATTGCCAGTGCTGCTATCTCTAACCTCGCATTATATTGTTATATGTATATATTTGTATATCCTGACCATGTAGAATTGTTCTGTTCTGTTTTTCAGCCACATTCTTGCGGCTGTAACACAATGTATCAGATTTTTGCCTTGTAATTTGCATATATCCTCAGTCAAAAATAAACTTGCATATCTACGTGTCATGTTGATTTTGGATGTGCTTTTCAAACATGTGTTCATTTATATTTTTGAATAATGTAGGTGGTCCGTAAAAAAATTATTAGTGAAGGATCCAGAGTTGATGGAAGACAGTTAGATGAAGTGAGACCCTTGTATTGTGAAGCTGGATATGTTTCTATGCTGCATGGATCTGCACTTTTTTCCCGTGGAGAAACACAGGTCTAATATGTTCCATGTTTTTGTGTTATGGATTGGTGAAAGTTAAATAATTGCAGTGACATGAAACAATTATTATTTTAAACCGAGGTGATTTGTTTTGATGTCATGGACAGGTCCTATGTACGGTAACACTTGGAGCACCTACAGACGCTCAACGTTTGGACTCTTTAGTTGGACCTCCGTTAAAGCGGTTTATGCTTCACTACAGTTTTCCACCATTCTGCATAAATGAAGTTGGTAAAAGTGGTGGTCTAAATAGGCGTGAAGTTGGTCATGGTAAATGAGTACCTTGCTAAGACTATGCATAAACTATTTGAATATTGTATTTACATTTTGGTTCATGGATAACGTATATAAATATCAAAGAGAACCTATAGGAGACAAACAAGAAGATAAGTAATCGGAGTTTGTTCACACAGCTTCATTAGCTAAAGAGGTTGGCTTTTTGTCATTTTACTTTTGTAGGGACACTTGCTGAAAAAGCTCTTCTTGCTGTTTTGCCTCCTGAAGATGTTTTTCCATATACTATTCGTGTCAACTCCGAAGTCATGGCTTCAGACGGTTCAACATCAATGGCAACTGTATGTGGAGGTATTATTTAAACCCACAATAGCTGCGTTTAATGCCATTTTATGATCTTAATTCACTATTAAGCTTTGGATGATTGATTACTTTTCTTCCGACGAACGTTAAATTGATAGAAGGTTAAAATACAAGTATAATGTAAGCTATAACCTATACAAACAGAAAACAAGGACAAGAAAGGCATGACATATCATGTAATCTGACGGACATCACTGTCGAGGTCTAGTCTATGTACTAAATTGATAGAAAATTTACTATGAGTCTTTCTGTTTATAGGAAGCATGGCTTTGATGGATGCTGGCATTCCAGTAAGGGAACATGTTGCTGGCGTTTCTGTGGGTCTTGTTAGTGAACTTGATCCATGCACAGGCGAAATAGTGGACTATCGTATACTGACTGATATTTTGGTATTTTTCTGAACTTATTGAGTTATACTTATATATCATGTTGTACAATGTTTGTTTGATCACTATCCAATCAAAATTGAGACGTTCTAATTATCAACCACCTCTAGATTTGAATGTCTACTATTTGTTTTAACGATTACTTAGTTGTACTTTTGTTCTCTGCTTTTCATGTTATCCTGGTTCTTGATGCAATCAAGTGTTTCTATATTACCAAGCAGTTAGATAACTGTCAAACAAACAAGGATTATTGATTTCATGCAGAAGTATTAAATTTTAATTTTTCTAAGGGCTTGGAGGACCATTTGGGTGACATAGACTTCAAGATTGCTGGAACTCGAAATGGAGTTACCGCCATTCAGTTGGATATGAAACCAGCTGGAATTCCACTAGACATCATATGTGAATGTTTAGAACCTGCAAATAAAGCCCGTCTACAAATTATTGATCACATGGAACAAGAAATTGAAGCACCACGCACCAAGGATGACATTTCTTCTCCACGACTAGGTTTAGATCTTAAACTTTTTTCCTTTCATTTATTTTGTAACTTTTTAAGTTAGATTCCTTGATATTTTAGGATACACTACTGTTAA